GACCACAGATCATTATTGAATAGAACAGATAACAAAGTTACAAGCACACCGAGCGAATTTAAGCTAAATGGTTAATGCGTGCCAGCAAGCGAATATAGAGGTTGATTCAGAGTCAAATCGAGTAGAAGCGAAGCAGGGCAAAGCAAATAACAAGATTCAAGCATATATATTTATGGGAAAGGGACTGATTCATCAATAGATATTTAAGCGATCAATATTTAAGCTGAGTGAGATATGTATGTGGGCTGTCACATGTGATCAAGCATACTCGTTTATACAGTCACGGTAGTAATCAAAATAATACGAAGAAATAGACGAACTTTTACTGTTCCAATACCACAGTATGCTAAATAAGTTAATTAAAGAGCTTGCCAAAACTAACCTGAAACAAATTTCAGGAGAGTTGTTTAACGATAAAGCATCTAAAATAACGAAATAAATGGGCTTCATTCTTCTCAACTTCCTTCGAAATGAATATAGAATGATTCTCTACAAGATGTGCGTCAGGTATATCGTTGAATATTGTTCGTTCTCATTTTCAATTTCATGTCTGTCCGAGATACTGAAGGTAGAAGGAATACAGTGGGGCTCACTCACAAAGTGCCTAAAATTGATTCACTCATCCACTATCGTTCCCCATGCCACACCCTAGGACAAGAACCTGTCTTGAAAGAAGGATCAAGTCCAATTTGATTCTCTACTTCAAGCCCCTCAAAAATCTTACTTGATCCACTTGTTATATATCCCTTCTTCCAGGCTAACATACACGACCTTCGAGATAAAGTATCCACAGTCAAAGTTGAAAAATGCAAACCACAAACTCGGAAAAACTTCTTCCCCACTAAGTATGTATTATTGTGTGGTAGTCTTCCTTCTGCAATACGCATGACAGATGGATTCCAAACGTTTGCAAGAATTTTTAATGAAGCTTTCGCTTGCACTGATCTAGCACGCGCGAACACATCTCGCTCAACTCAGACATCATAGGCCATCCACATGTCTTAACAATATCAAACTCTAAGTCTAGTTCCCCTCACTCTTCTTCTCAGTTGTATTAGATAAACAAACCGAATGACGAAGTGTGACGTATATATATTTGGTATCGTTCGGTACCAATGTTCATGTGTTTAGATAGTAAGCATATGTCCCTTCTTAACTTTGACTTGCAGTAGATAGATATCTCACCGGACCCACCAATACTGAACAAGTATATTCAGTCTAAAAGGACGCTCGCTACTGTCCTAAAGAATCGCCTAGACAACATCATGCTCTCCTGCCTACTTCCGGTGGCCTTGCATCCATGGGGCTTGTTCTCATGAGCCGGTTAGGATAGCACAAAATACTGTTAGCACCAGAGTAATGTGAGTTCATTTTTGTTTATTTTCCGACGACTTTTTACTTGCACGTACACTATGTTTACTTACCAATAACTTTGTTTGATTACTCATTGCCGTATCTATTACAATTTCATTTAACATATAAATTTACTCATGTTAACACTTCATATTTGTCACCTCAACATTAACTATTTGGCTTGATTTTATGTGACAAGCAATCCTTGATTCACATGTTATAAGTTTACGTGATGCACTTCGCTCCAACATTGTCCAATTACATCGGTATATAATTGAAGAACCTGATGAGAAACTACTGAATAGAATATTCTTCGTTTTATCCACAACTTTTATGTTCCTAAGCTTTTCGTTTTACTCCGACAAATAATTATTGTGTACTATACCGTTCTTGATGTTTATAATTCGCTTGGGAACTCATATTTTATACCATAGTCATTTGAAGCATTTCATCGATGCGTTACGCACAGCCCATAATTTGTAACCATCTGATAGCCTTGTAAAGTGATGCTTATAGGTGCTCTCCAGGGGGATGTGAAAAATAGATACAATGTTTTATCTAAAAACAGACCTTAATGAAACTAACTGCAGAGGTCCCTCGTTTTGACCATAAGTGACAAGAGTTTCTGACATAACAATCAGCGATGACCAGATATAACAATTGGAGACGTGGTGATAAAAATTTCTAAACCCTCAATCTTAAAGCTAATGAATCAGGCTCAGCCTGTAATTGGATAAAATCAAGTGTAATTATTTCGAGCAATCAGCATACAGGGTTCTCGCCGGTCTACTTGAACGACAATGTTTGATAATTAGTTATACAGTAATTTTCATTGCCGTGCTGATTCAGGAAATGGGTGTCTCTTCTGATCAATTACAGTTTTTATTTGAGCGACAACAGCAGCGTTTCAAAGAGAGCCAGTTGAACGCTTAGACATTTTGCGCACACTGTTGCTAAACCATCCATGTTTTGGAGATGTGACAGAAGTTGATGAATTAATTTCTAATTTGCGTACAGAGCTGGAAAGTAACTACAGAACATATGAACGTGTCGATGAAAGCCTCCATGAATCCTTGGTAAGCAGTAACGTAAACGAAGTAGTAGTGGTGATATGTTTTAAATAGTCATACTAACCGTAACTTGGGAATATGAAGACCCAACATTATTTCGTGGATGAGGGTAAACTCAGAAAATGTAATGTCAGGACCTAAACTTTGCGCTTTCAAAAAAAGAAAGGAAGGTGAAATGGTGGAAAGTAAAGTCCAAATTAGATTGATTTACTCATAATGAGTTTTGTTCAACATTACTTCCGTTCTTATTTAATGTGATGATTATTCACTCTAGTATTCGGTCTTGTTTTCTCGTATGATACTTCATTCTGTACAATATACGATATTCTTGTATTCAATTGACATGAACTATGCTCTTTATGTGATTTGTTATAACTCAAAGTATTTTTCATATATATGATTTCATCCTAATTATTAATCAAAATATGTGCACAATCTATGTATGAATGAGTGCATTTTCGACAAGGGTCGCCGTCATTGTGAGTTGGGGTCAATAAATCTTCATTTATACTAGTCCTTATGTTCTTAAATTCGCGTCGTGGTGGTTGTGGAGGTACCTCATTCCGAGTAGAAGTGATAAGCGTTTCCGACATAACAATCAGCGATGACCAGATATAACAATTGGAGACGTGGTGATAAAAATTTCTAAACCCTCAATCTTAAAGCTAATGAATCAGGCTCAGCCTGTAATTGGATAAAATCAAGTGTAATTATTTCGAGCAATCAGCATACAGGGTTCTCGCCGGTCTACTTGAACGACAATGTTCAGTACTAGGACCTCTTCTTTTCTCGATCAACATAAACGATCTTCTAGAGTAAGTATTGTCGGATTTATTGCTTTTCGTTGATGATGTGGAACTGGAGAGAAGTTCGTAACCAAGAGGACCCAAGCAACACAAAAAGGGGAAATAAAGGCGAACACAGGGGAAATAAAGCGGACGAAAGCGTAAATAAAGGAGGAATGTCGCTTATTCGCCTTTACGTCGGTTATTTAGTGGGAATGTCGCTTTTTCCCCCTTACGTCGTGTATTTAGGGGAAATTTGTCGACAATTATGCGTAACGTACAGTGTTTGAATGAACCGCATACAGAACTTAAGTTTTCATAAACTTCGACAAATTAAGGCACCGCTTAATAAAAAACAAAAGCATTTTCATAAAAACAAGGTGCAAAATACGGAACCAGGCATTCGGTTGATGCGCGTATAAACTGACTTCGTTCGTTGTTTAGCTAAAGTGTTTCGACATGCTTACGTGATGCAGGTGAGTAACGTGCTCTCAGTTTTTCATCTTCATTGTAACTGATTACCTTGTAAGGCCAATACTCTGAGTTCTATTGAAGTCAGTGAAAATGTTCATAGACGTAGGGCTACTGTGAACTTGTCACGTTTCCTTGGCTGTCATAGATCCATTTATAACAGAAGGTGGAATAAAATGAGAGCTGCTTTCATGAAAAAAACATGACTTTCTTTCGTTCAGTGAGTTTGCTAATGAAAGCACCCTAAAAGGTAACTGAGTTCAACAATTGATAGAAGTAAATAGAGAAATCAATTGTAATAAAAGTACTTCAATTATTATACCGTCCACTACCCAGACAACCCAAAAAGGGGAAATGAACGGGTAAATGCTTTGATGGCGAAACGGGAAATAAAGGGAAAACGCGCCAGAATATCGCCTTTTTCGCCTGTCCAGGGGAAATAATGCGGATTTCCCCCTTTTTCGCCGTTTTGTCGACAAATTACCGACTTATCGCCTAAATATCCGCCGGATTGCCTACTTTTCGCCTAAATACACACATAACCCCCTATTTTCCAGCCATTGACAGAACCCCAAAGGTCTCCTATGTTCGCCAAAATATATCTGCAATGCAGTGGAAAAGCGGTACATTTTTGAAAAATTTTATTTAAAAGGAAAAGCGTATTATTGTACAACACTAGAGCCGAAGCTTAAGCATTGATTGTTCTGCATATCCAATGCAATTGCTAATTCATTGTTATTTGAAATTATCTGAAAAAGAAGAAACAGGTGATGTTTTATTTATAAAAAATGTGTATTTAAACAAAAGTTAACTGACACTCAAACACACGTTCTCAACACTTCAACAGTTTCCCATATAAGTAAAACAGTAAGCTGAACTTACGGTTATGTTCGTTAATATTGTTGACTGTAACTATAGAGCCGTAGGGAGGTTATCACTTTAAATTAGTACATACCTGGTCTTGTTTTCTTCTATTACACTTTATCATCTTGTCTCGGATATCGTGAAAGTAACCTTGTGTCGCGATGTCATAGAGCTTACCAAGGTCTTTTTCGTTGACAGGATGACAAAAAGCGATGAGTTAAGACACCTGAAGTTTAAGTAATAGATATAGGTTACTTCGTATGCAGCCGTAAAACGTGCATTTCTGAAGTGCTCGTTTTGAAGAGGTGCCAAGTAACGTGAATTTACTGGCAACCTCAGGTGTCAACAGATGCGACAGAACAAACCGCATCGACGTTTTTGGATCGTCACTTGATAACCTAGTGACCATTGCCATCTGTAATAGTAACAAATTATTAAATTCATGTTAATGACTTACAAATCTGTCCCTGGTTTCTTTTTGCTACAAACCAGTATCCAGCATCTGTAGTTCCTCTTCAGATGACAAAGGGAAGTGCTGACTCGACAGTCCGCAATCGAATTGATGCGGTCTTTCGCGCTCATTAGACTTTGAAAGCAATTGCTTTACATTAATACTCAAATCCGAAATGGCTGTTGACATTTTCTGCAACGTTTGACTGAAGTCATTCATAGTTGACGAAATGTTTTGCACCATTGCATGCAACCTATCTAACCTGAAAAAGTCCACTCGATGATGCAGGTGACTTACTGGTCTGCTGAAGCACCATGGACACGCTTTGATGCCGATGTAGACGGGGATGTCTCTAATTGCGTCGAACTAATTTTTGAACATGTAAATAGTCATGAAACTTACTTAGCAATAGGCGAAACTAACTTGTCAAACAACCTGAATTTGGAATATTGAACATGACTATTGCCAGCCTGCATTTCAGCAACATCCATGTCTACTGAATTGTAAAGATATTCTTGTTTACGCTTCATGGCAGCTCTAGAAAATGTTAGTAACATTATTGTACATACCTCTTGTGCTTCTCAGTGTTATGTGGCAGTGTTTTCCCGGTGAGATTGCAGTATTTGTATGGAAAGTAACAGATCTTTGGCAGACTGCAGAGAATCTATAGTGAATTATACTTTCTGTGTATGTAACTTACCTAATTCGTGAATAACTTTACATTTCATAAGTGACCAATTTTCATTCGGTTGGTCGCACTTCTAAAGGTGTATATCGACCAGCTCGTTCGGAAAAACGCAAAGTTCTTTGCCTACTATCCACTCCTTGGATGCTGTCATCAGTTGTTTTTTGCTGAGGACGTCAACAATGACGTACTTCTTGTTAGCGGGCTGAAAATAACATAAGACCTAATTAAATTATTTGTCGTCATTTATTAAACACTAGTGAAACAAAATGCATTTACAGCAAAGTATGCAGCAATGGGATTAGAACTAGATAATTCCTACAATTTATGGCCATACATTTACAATCTATGTCCTTAACCGAGATCCATATGTGTTCATGGCTAACTACGGAGCACATAAAGATTCCAATATCAGTAGATGGGAAAGGATCTTCAAAGTAATTGCGTGGGTCAGTGAAAGTCCTAAATTTTAGTAGTCCATCCTCCTTTATATCAGTGATGGTGAATAGATTGAGTCTGACGACGGAAGGTGTCGTCTGTTCTTAAAGTATATAACCCATTTGGAAAGGTCGTCTTACCATCCAGCCGTCTCCCAAGAACAGTACACCTATCGCAACCTACCTTACCGTTATGATTCACCGTGTACCTAACAGAAGAACGAGCAGGTGCGTCACATATAACAGCCGCCAACCGAATAGCTATGCACTTATTAAACTTGACACTGAAAAGACCCTCGTCAGTAATTTCTTTTATTTCAGAAGTTGTGTCCGCAGAAAATTCGTTGAATTCTGCGGCTTTACTATTCCCTCCGTAGATCTTTATCATGAACACGTCACTAAGCCTAAGGGCAATGATCCGTCCTAGTATAGGCCATAACTGTTGATTAGAGCTTCTAGACATAGAAAGTCCATCTATATTGACATACAAATTTAAAGAGTCAAAATCAATAGTACACAACCAAAGCTCAACGTATCTTAGCAGATTGGTTTTCAATCCTAGATGGTAGTAAGTCCCACAGCCGATGAACTTTGGTTGAACACTTGGACAAGTCTTCAGAACACCTCTGATGCTTTTCGGTATGTCCGGGATAAGAATTCGTAGACCATACAGAACCCGATCAGCATCTCTTATGCTCAGAGATTTATTTGACATTACATACATCATGAAGTCGTTCATCAGTTCTTTGCGATTCACAATCTTTTGAGAGCACAAGTTCACTTCATTACATCCTATAAGAACGAATTTTCTGCGGACACAACTTCTGAAATAAAAGAAATTACTGACGAGGGTCTTTTCAGTGTCAAGTTTAATAAGTGCATAGCTATTCGGTTGGCGGCTGTTATATGTGACGCACCTGCTCGTTCTTCTGTTAGGTACACGGTGAATCATAACGGTAAGGTAGGTTGCGATAGGTGTACTGTTCTTGGGAGACGGCTGGATGGTAAGACGACCTTTCCAAATGGGTTATATACTTTAAGAACAGACGACACCTTCCGTCGTCAGACTCAATCTATTCACCATCACTGATATAAAGGAGGATGGACTATTAAAATTTAGGACTTTCACTGACCCACGCAATTACTTTGAAGATCCTTTCCCATCTACTGATATTGGAATCTTTATGTGCTCCGTAGTTAGCCATGAACACATATGGATCTCGGTTAAGGACATAGATTGTAAATGTATGGCCATAAATTGTAGGAATTATCTAGTTCTAATCCCATTGCTGCATACTTTGCTGTAAATGCATTTTGTTTCACTAGTGTTTAATAAATGACGACAAATAATTTAATTAGGTCTTATGTTATTTTCAGCCCGCTAACAAGAAGTACGTCATTGTTGACGTCCTCAGCAAAAAACAACTGATGACAGCATCCAAGGAGTGGATAGTAGGCAAAGAACTTTGCGTTTTTCCGAACGAGCTGGTCGATATACACCTTTAGAAGTGCGACCAACCGAATGAAAATTGGTCACTTATGAAATGTAAAGTTATTCACGAATTAGGTAAGTTACATACACAGAAAGTATAATTCACTATAGATTCTCTGCAGTCTGCCAAAGATCTGTTACTTTCCATACAAATACTGCAATCTCACCGGGAAAACACTGCCACATAACACTGAGAAGCACAAGAGGTATGTACAATAATGTTACTAACATTTTCTAGAGCTGCCATGAAGCGTAAACAAGAATATCTTTACAATTCAGTAGACATGGATGTTGCTGAAATGCAGGCTGGCAATAGTCATGTTCAATATTCCAAATTCAGGTTGTTTGACAAGTTAGTTTCGCCTATTGCTAAGTAAGTTTCATGACTATTTACATGTTCAAAAATTAGTTCGACGCAATTAGAGACATCCCCGTCTACATCGGCATCAAAGCGTGTCCATGGTGCTTCAGCAGACCAGTAAGTCACCTGCATCATCGAGTGGACTTTTTCAGGTTAGATAGGTTGCATGCAATGGTGCAAAACATTTCGTCAACTATGAATGACTTCAGTCAAACGTTGCAGAAAATGTCAACAGCCATTTCGGATTTGAGTATTAATGTAAAGCAATTGCTTTCAAAGTCTAATGAGCGCGAAAGACCGCATCAATTCGATTGCGGACTGTCGAGTCAGCACTTCCCTTTGTCATCTGAAGAGGAACTACAGATGCTGGATACTGGTTTGTAGCAAAAAGAAACCAGGGACAGATTTGTAAGTCATTAACATGAATTTAATAATTTGTTACTATTACAGATGGCAATGGTCACTAGGTTATCAAGTGACGATCCAAAAACGTCGATGCGGTTTGTTCTGTCGCATCTGTTGACACCTGAGGTTGCCAGTAAATTCACGTTACTTGGCACCTCTTCAAAACGAGCACTTCAGAAATGCACGTTTTACGGCTGCATACGAAGTAACCTATATCTATTACTTAAACTTCAGGTGTCTTAACTCATCGCTTTTGTCATCCTGTCAACGAAAAAGACCTTGGTAAGCTCTATGACATCGCGACACAAGGTTACTTTCACGATATCCGAGACAAGATGATAAAGTGTAATAGAAGAAAACAAGACCAGGTATGTACTAATTTAAAGTGATAACCTCCCTACGGCTCTATAGTTACAGTCAACAATATTAACGAACATAACCGTAAGTTCAGCTTACTGTTTTACTTATATGGGAAACTGTTGAAGTGTTGAGAACGTGTGTTTGAGTGTCAGTTAACTTTTGTTTAAATACACATTTTTTATAAATAAAACATCACCTGTTTCTTCTTTTTCAGATAATTTCAAATAACAATGAATTAGCAATTGCATTGGATATGCAGAACAATCAATGCTTAAGCTTCGGCTCTAGTGTTGTACAATAATACGCTTTTCCTTTTAAATAAAATTTTTCAAAAATGTACCGCTTTTCCACTGCATTGCAGATATATTTTGGCGAACATAGGAGACCTTTGGGGTTCTGTCAATGGCTGGAAAATAGGGGGTTATGTGTGTATTTAGGCGAAAAGTAGGCAATCCGGCGGATATTTAGGCGATAAGTCGGTAATTTGTCGACAAAACGGCGAAAAAGGGGGGAAATCCGCATTATTTCCCCTGGACAGGCGAAAAAGGCGATATTCTGGCGCGTTTTCCCTTTATTTCCCCTTTCTCCACCTAAGCATATACATCTTTCTTCGCCTTTATTTCGCTTTTTTGGGTTGTCTGGGTGTCATTTTATTCCTACAAACTGAGGTGAAGTTGAAAGTTGTATTTAAGGTTCATAATTATGAAAGAATCATAGCGAACCGTGTTTGTTTTTCCAGGTTAAGAGGCATTTTGTTTGGTAGTTGAAGCGCGTTTTAGATTCATGTGCACCTTCCTGACTGGTTGGACAGTGTTGGGGGGTTGAGTGTACGGCCAGATAACCAGTTGATTTCACTACAATACCTGGGATATTCTACTTCTTAGACCATGACACCCTGTCCTTTTTAACTTCGTCGAAAGGAATCCAACCGCCCACATAGTTTTTGGAGACCATCGTTGCGTTTAGAGATCCTGTACCGGGAGATTCAAGTTTGCTGGGGAGTCTAGTGCAGTCGATGTTATAATGGTGCTGAGCTTTAGCATGTCCACATTAGTGTAGATGCATGTCCCATCGATACTACCGTTGTTGAGGTCCCCCTTCTTTTCTTCACTGCGTGTCCTCGTCTGTTTACCCGTTATAGGACTATCTTTTTTTCGATTTTATGACAAATTTCTCCGCAGACCTGTCAAGAGAATGATAATGTTGCTCGGCATTAACTTTACACGTGCTACATACCAACCTACGATTCGGCTAAGTCTGATGTAAGCAGTTACTGTAAGATCTGTGCATACTTCGTGAAACCAACTTTTGCATTTGTCACAATCCACGCCATAGGTGACAGCGAAACGGCATCCGAGTCGCTTGCATAAATTCTTCATGATCATGGTGATGTGGATTGATGAATAGATCCTAGAAAAAGTTTACGACCGCAAAACAAAAAAAAACAGTACATTCAAAACGGATGGTACAGAAGGTTACGATAAACTAAAACTAGCCTTGACGTGAAAAATGGAATAGTAATTTGAGGTACAATTACAGTCAACTATTAACTTTGGAGAAACTCAAAAAGAAAAGTAATTTACCGAACGTTGAGCTTAGGACAGATTCTTTGGATCAAAAACGGTGCTTTTGTTGCGTAAGGAAACAGCAAAAGCTTGAAAAATGCAAATCATGTTAGGACTGAACTTCCCGTTCTTGTACATATCTAATCTCGCGAATGAGTCAGTCAAAAAAGTGAACACTTCTACTCCATCATTGTCTGATGAGAGTTTACTAGTTTGTAAAACAACCTGTGCATTAAATAGATTCTTTTCGTTATTGGCCTTCGATTTTACCTCCTATGTCCTCTCAGTTGTCATAGACTAATAGGGAACAAGAGAAAATATTTCTGGTCCAAAACCGTTCCTCAGTATCCTACACGTCGTAACCAAGTCACCTCATAATTCGTGGTAAAGTAGTTTAGTTTGCTAACCTGTCAAGCCACTCGGTGTATGGTACGTTGCTGTCAAAGTTGACCCACTTCTATTTTCTTTAAAACCATATTTATACATTATAAATGCCTCTACATCAGAGGTAGTATTTTTTCACCGATGAAAACCGTTCAAAAATTTACTTAACTAGGTTTTACGCTATCTTCAGTTTTAAACGAATTTCATGCCAGATAAACATGTTCATTCTTTTCTCATACCGGCTTTTTTTCACAGGTTGAGATTTTGGTCACAAGTCACGCACGGATTTATTTATCATTATAGTTGTCAAAATCATTTAACGAGATTCTTCAAACATGGATTTGCTTGATAAGAATGAACCCATATCTTCCATTCAAGTAATTGACGTTTTATATTTAATTTCTGTCAGGAATCAAGAGATGCTTTTGTTGTCATGGAAGAAAGTGGCATAGTAGATGATGGAGTTCAGTTCCTTTATGCTGTTGACCTCCTCCGTACTACTCGTAAAGAGGCACTTAATCTCTCCGTTAAGTTATTAGAAGGTTTGTCCCAGTAAAATAATACTACTTGCAGAATTATTTAATCGCACAAAAGATGATAGTCTACGGCGTGACTGTTTGTTTTATTTGGCAGTAGCTCACACTAAGCTGTCAGTAAGTGCGTTTGCTTACGTAACACCTCATAGGACTATGAAAACGCAACTCGGTGTTGTGATAATATATTGGTGATACAACCGTCAAACCAACAGGTCAAAGAATTAAGGAATACAATACAGTCTCGTGCTAAAAGAGGTATCGAAAAACGTTTTTACCTAAGTCTACATTGACTAAGTGTATATAATATTTGGACTTTGGAACGTTATTGAATTTAGTTTCACACTGTCGTTCGCATATTGACGCAAGGATTTATGATTATATTTAAAACCCATGACTTTCCATGTTTTTAAGAGGTAAATAATTGTTCGTATCCAAAGTGTATGGAAACAGAGTATTATCTTCGGATACTTCAGTCCCATTTATGATACTCTGCAACACCATAACTAGACAAAGAAAATGTCTAGATTGAAATAAGTGAACAGATTCTTACCGCTGAGATTAATGACTTTGTTTACTTTGTTCCTTTTTTGCATGGGTCCAAAATTTCTCATTTACTGATTAGATCAAATGAATGTTAAGTAGTGGCGTTCTAAGTAGTCAACTAACTAAAGTGTATTATAGGTCATGGGCGTTGGTTAACACTCAAGTGAACGTTGATATTCTTGTCCAGAGGCTGTTGGCTGCCGAACTACTACGGTTGATCCATCCAAGTTATTGAAGTAGTCTGTTTCTGTACATTATAATAATAATAGGGCAATGAAGACTAATTTTGAACTGATATGACCCATTGCGGAAACCATGGGGTCTGCCAGTGACCGAATTCACCAATCATACATCTAAAATAGTGTTTCGTGAAATTAAGGTTTGAAGACAATATGGTTTTAGCAAGCATTTATTTTATTTATCTGGGTTACGGTTTGTTTCAACCCAGTTTGCCACATCATCTAAGGAGTCTATTCATTAAAGATAATACAAGATGCCTCAGTTGCTATACGAAATTTATTGAAAGCAAATAAAAAAGGAAACCTAAGAATTGATTAGAAATTATATCAAAGTTTGAAATTCGGACGGAAAATAGAAGATAAGTGGGTCCGTGTCACTGCCACCGGTTTTGAGATAGGTCACCTGATGTTTTCATCCTATACTTTCGGTCATAACTAAAATGTCTGAACTTCCCTGTCCTACTGAGACCAATATTCAGTAACTTCTTCGACTAATGTATTTGTCTATATACTCAGCTATTTATCCACCAACTTCTATACTATCACAGAGCCCCTTGTCAGGTTGTGTGTTGAAGTACTTCAAATAAATCTTAATCAACCCACTAAATAATTGCTCAAATATTCATTAATAAGTTACAATCTTCACCTAGCACCAACACTGCTCATCGATATGTTTTGTCATATATGTGCAATGATTAGAAGACATGTACGATACATAACATGTCCTTCATTTCCAAAGTTCATGTCTTACAATCATGGAATAATCCAAATCAAATTTCTACGTATTATATTGGCCTTTTGGTAGACCAATAGGCATGCCACCTAGGGAACATGGGGTATTTTAATAGGATCGGAGCGGGCATAATAATATTTAGTCTGGAATTTTGTCATCTACCAACTTACCACGGTTGGTGGGACAGATAAGTGAGATGGTCAGCTTACTGGATTGTCTTACCTCTTGTGGTTAAATGATATGAATATATCCCACAGTGTTTTATGTCTTGAAGAAGTTCCAGACATCGAAGTTCCTCTTACATTCATACATGATTCAAGTAGTGAAGAGTAAAGTTGGATTTGGAATTTATATGAAATTCAAATATGATGACATTGTGAAGTCGTTTTTAAGCAATTTAGTTATGTGGCTTTATGCAACTTAAATCCACATATAGTT